AAAAAAAAAAAAAAAAAATGGTGCTACTGTCGCAAAGGTTTTGCTTCAGGGTAAAAAAACCCTGTTTAGGAATTAGGGGTCAGGCTGCCCTTCCAGAGATGAAAACTACATGCATTAATTTTTTTTTAAGTGACCTATATAGCAAGGGGAGAGGGGGACCAACACATTCTCTGGGTTCATTGCTGACACCTCCTCATTATTGCATCATTAGTCATGTGATAATTGCAAGGCTCCAGGTCCTAGAGTCACACGATCATGCAAGAATTTCAGTTTTCATTTTTACAAATAGGGTTGTGGCTGCAGAATCTGAAACACCAGGCAACAAATTTAAAAAAACCCCACTGTTCAAGAAAATCACAATGTTTGGGGTTCTGGTTCATGATATTTGAATGTTTGAAGCTGGCAATACTGGAATATATATAACATAGCTCTGGCTGGAACCCAGTTGGGATAAGTCAGAACTGGAACCTTTTTCTTCAATGGCCAAATGTGGATCCTGAACTCAACCCCGCCAGAACATTAGGAACATCCAGCTTTTCTGAGCCTTCATGGTTCAGTTGTATTTGGACCAAGACTTTTGATTCCAGTTGATTCTATTTCTTAAGGGCCAAATCATAGCTTGGAAAATAAGGGGGGCTAATAAAATGAAGGTAAGTTCTGCCTCTCCTCCCTTATGGCTCAGTCTCGTTCTCTCCAACCACTCTGAATCAACACCTCCTGACAACCAATTTTGGTGAGACACTTCCTGAAGGGCTGTAGACAGGTAGTGATCAGCAGAGGAGGTAGAATGGAGCTAAACAGGTTCTATAAAAAAACTCCCAACTCTCCACTTGTTCAAAGTTAAAATAGGCTGATTTTAATATTAACCTGATTCATTTTCTGTCCTGCCTGGCAATAATTCATGTGGCACTGAAGAGCTGAGAGAGCACTTTTGTCCTGTCCTTGTGTCTCTTTTCACAGTCATAGTTTTTGTGGAGCTTCATTAGCTTAGAGAAAGCTAATGTGAAGGTAGATAAGTATAGCAAGCCACACCAGTTGTGTGTTTATTTAAAAAAAAAAAATAGCAGCTATAATCTCCCAGTTTCTGGTAAGCGAGGTAAGTAACGGGGAAGTGGCTGCCAAACGGCTCTGCTCTACATAAAAGGCATGTTTTTTGGAACTTGCTTACTAACCTGGACGAGGTCCGGGGTGAGGCGCTTTGCTTTCAGCCACTTCTGGAATCTCTCTGTCTTCCTCAAGACACGCTCAATGCTGCAGCCTTTTGTATTGGAAACGGAAGTACAAATTCTCTTGTCAGCCTGGTCATGCTGGTATTTGGTGGTTAACCTGGTGATGTCAACCAGTCGCCAGCTTTTGGCATCATCAGTGTAATTCCCGGAATAACTGAGAAGGTAGTTGGGAGGCAGTTTCAAGCGAGGAGAGAGCCAGCTGTCAAACCTGCCAAACCAAAACAAGGTCCCAATGGAGAGCATGTTAATCAGCCACATGAAATAGGATAACCTGGGCACCACTTCCAGCTTTTATGTTAAACTCTACAGGCTAGAAAAAGCATTTCATCACTTTGAAAATGTTTTAAATGATGGAGGGCAATAGTGAAAAAGAGATCAGCAAGTTTCGGAGGCTTCAAATTTGATTTCTTGGTAAGCCTCTTTCCCTGCTCCTTGGCCTTCCCTGTAAACCTTGTAAATGCCTGTAGGTATGCTTAGCAACCTGCAATGTGGCTATTTAACAACAGTGCCTCCGTACCAGTAGCCTGGTACTTCTGAGTGACCCTGTGAGATACAAAATGATGCACTTTCAGTAGAGGAAAGCCTTGGTAACCAACTAAGTTTCATTTTAGGCTTATGAGCCTGTACTTATAAACAGTGTGGGGGGAGAGGGAGACAAGTCCTGTCAGGTATACAATGTGTAGTAACCCCTTAAAAAGTCTGGAAGCATGCCAGTGGGCCTCTATCATCTGCTGCAGAAGCCACCAGAACTCCAACAAAGAAGTGTGTATACACAGCCAGCCCTTGTACAATGTTATATATGTTCAGATATATATGTTTCCTAACAATATAGAAACCATTTAGAAAACAGCTGTGTTCATGTGGTTTCCTAATATATTTAATACTGTGTGGACAGCATGGACAAATGGTTATAAATGACTAAAGATTTAAATAATCAATGTGAATACATTGTACAAAGATGAATGGTGAACCAAGGAGGGAAAAGACGGAGAAATAAGATTCTTTAAGTGTTTCCGCCAGATCATCCAGGTCTGTAAATCTGGGTCAGTTGTAATGGCAATGGTTCTGTTCTGAAATCACCTTTTTACAATGAATGTAATATACCCAGGGACTGCAGTACAGATTGTAAAAGTAATTACTAGTAAATATAGCCAGTATAACAAAGCTGAGGTCCAAAAGTAGTTCTTGTTTAACGGGGAAAAGATTAACTGTACTTCTGTGAGGGAGTTTTCCTATGTAAGGTCTCACAAAACAATTCATAAAATAAAAAGTTAAATCCTGTCAGTGGCATGAGTATGAGAAGCAAAGCAATGGCATGGATAGCAATGGTTAGGGTATGTTGTTTGTGAATGTGACCACTTGTCCAGGAAACAATTCAATAGTTCTTTATAAACTTCCCAGAGAGATGTCACTGTGTTACCAAATGTCTTGCTGTTGTCTTATCACAATGGCAACTAGTGGGGTATCAGTTGTCATTGCTGATAGAAAACATGGATCTTTATCAGGGCTATTCCAGGTATTCTTTTGATGTGGTGTGATTACATTAGCCATGCTGCATGTGATGGGGATTCTGTAAAGAGAATGAATACCCACTGAAGTCCAAGCTGCTTTTTTTCTACCTACAAGGCTAGTGTATTAAACAGCACTGATCAGTGCCTCTTTCAGTTGCTATTTGACTGTCTTTGCACCCTGCCCTTCTGTTTTCTTCCTAGTACACTGTAATATAGCATGTAAAATTGATCCAGCAATTACACTCCAGGCTGCATAGGGTGGAATGAACCAGCCCCTTCAGAAAATACTGTGATGGAACCACATGAATAGAGATATTGACCATGAAGGAAATTCTGACCTTTTGGTATTTCCTTTCTCCTAAAAAAAATAATGCAGTATCCTGTGAAGCACACTCCTACAAATGTTGGGTTGGAATGACGGAGTTATCAAGTTGATCTCGGTGAAACATCTTGTTTCAAGAAGGTTAAAATGCTTATTTTTGACATGCATTGTATTATATATTAGTCAAAATGATGATGTTGAAACAAAGGCCCTTGAAAATGTTTTTTGTGGAAAATTTCTATGAAATCAACACATTCCTATGGAAACCTTGAGTCCGCTGAATCAGCATTTTCCAGCAGAGAATTGTTATGCAGGAAAAATCAATCTGCTCTAGTACACAAGATAATCTTTAGGTTTGGTCACCTTATTTTTTTCCTAAGCCCTTGGCCAACAAATTTTAATATGGGTAGTTCAAGGAGGAGGAGGGGCATGCTATAAGGCTCTCTTTTCAGTCCTCAGCTATTGAAATCAGAGGTCTGTCTGAGCCCATTATGGCCTATGAGGCTAGTGAACTTAAGACATGATGGTTTCTATAGTCAACATTATATGAAGGAATGAGATGACCAGTATCATGTCAGGCCACTTCTGATCCCCAGCCTAAATGACCAAGGACAAGTTGACTGGAGGCAATGCTGTAGTAAGGCTCAAAGTTGCACTTCCAGAGTCACCCTAAGATGCTTAACCATGCCTTTCAAGTGAGTTGGTGGGCTTAGGAAGACTTCTGACCTTGACCTTTTTGTGGACCATTACTGCCCTCTACATACTTAGGGATCATAGCTGGGGTCTGGCAGCTAGCAACAGCATGGCTCCTTACTCAGCTGTGATCTCATGGCAAGGGGTGGAGGTGGCATAGGAATGCCAAGGGGTAGCCTTCTGCGTAGTTTGGCAGTAACTAAGGTGAGAGAGTGTTTGAACTGCCCAGTTCTCTGGGGAGAGGAAAACAGAAGGGGCAATTGCTTCCGATGCACAACTCGATTGTAGCTATGGAGATATTGTGCTGATCTGTGCCTCTCCACACAGTATTGCATAGGAGGAGAACATATGGGCTGTGCAATTACATGCTGAAGAGTTTTCTTGTTTTATCAGCCCCCTCAGCCATGCCCACACATGTATTTAATATATAATAATATAAGGGCACAGATGAGTATTTTGTAAGTAAATCTGTAACACACGCAAATAATACGACTTGAACTCTAACTTTCCATAGCACAATGTCAAACATCCAATGCCAATAAAGTCTCTGAATTAGGAAATCCTTTCCTATGCACTGAGGAGAGATTTATAATTAGATCTCATCATAAATTAAAGTTAATAATTCAAAGTCAAAGTAGGATTGGCAGGAGCTTCAGTGGATACAATTAGATGAAAAGGCATTACCAAATTAAAGTAAGTTTGAAAATTGAAGCTGAAAAGTTTTTGATCCTGAGTAAGGCAAATAGTGCAAAGGAACTTTGAGAGATGCTGTGTGGAGAAGCATGGATCAATGCAACATCTTCATAGTTACAGCAGAGTTGTTCAAGAGAAACTATTTCCTGTTCTTTTTTTCTCGCTCCACAAAACTGGGGAGGTCAATTCCCTAACCCCCATCACCGTAGATGTTTATTTAGATTTCTTCTATTCAGAAATTCTGCTTTAAGTGTTAATATGTTTAATCTATCCCCGCTTTGATCAGTTGATGATTTCTAGAGCTAAGTGAATCATTTGCATCAAATAAATTACACCATAAATTACCCAACTGTGGAATGGTGCTGTTTCCTCCTTTTTGTTACATAATGTAATGTTGCACTCCTCTCCATAACCCAAAGTAGAAGGAGTTTGCTATGGCACCAGCTCTCACAAGAACTTGGCAGATTCATTCCCTGTAGCGAAGGTTTGAAGTTGTGCACATTGCCACCGCATTGTATTGGAAACCTACCAACCATCACAGCTACTTTCATGCTACCAGCTTTCATCCTAAGCACACCACTAGAGCCATTGACTACAGCCAAACTCTGTTGCAACCGGATCTGCTCTGACCCCACTGACCAGGCTGAATACCTTCAGGACTTGGAGCAAGGATTCTTGCAGTTACAATGCATCCCAAAACTGTAGCCACTCAGATTAACAAAGCTAGACTCAGATATTGCTCTGACCTGCTACAATACCAATCCTGGGACAAGGACAACAGAATCCTTCTGATTGTCACCTATGTGCCCCAACTTGAACACCTAAGGCAAAACATTAATGGCCTCCAACCCCTCCTGGAAAAGGATGATTGTCTCAAGACAGCCTTTGGGGACAAACTTGTCTTGGCTTACAGACAGCTTCCCAACCTTAAACAGTGTTTGTCAGCATACTAATGAACATCTATTCTCACTAAGGCTCCAGGCCTTGAAATGGACCCAGATGTCTGATCTGTCCCCACATCAATACAGACCACAGCATCACTGGACCTAATAACACCATTCAAGATTCATTCACCTACAATTCTACCACTACAGGGTGATCTCTATGTGTAAGAATGAATGAACACTGTTCTGATGTCAGCTACAGAAAGACACAAATACCTGGGGCAGAACACCTTAACTTGCCTGGACACCCCATTACTGACGTCAGGACTGCTGTTCTCAGGCAAAATAAATAAATAAATAAAATCCAGTTTTAACAGGAAACAGCAGAATAAGAATCTGTCCACAAACTAGACCCTTTTAAGTATGGTTTAAATAGGGACTGTGGATTCTTATTTCAGTACCTGAATTAGTTTTTGTGACCCCCTTTGTTCCTGTTGGTTTACTGCTCATTTGTTTTTCTTTCCTAGCACTGCCACTCTCTCCCTGTTCCTGTTTCTGTTCCCCGCCTCTTGTCTTTTCTATTCTAATTCCTCTCTCCTTTTTATACTCAGCTTCCTGGATGTCCTTTCACAGCATCTGATGAAGTGAACTTGGGTCCATGAAAGCTTGTGCTGTACATATATATCCTATTTAGTTAGTCTATAAAGGTACATATCTACCCTGCCTTCATGGTATTTATCATCAACCTGAGACTTCTTTTTGGTAGACAAGTTAGGGTAGGATTTTCAAAATAAAGAACAATAATGCTTATTTATTATTGTGGTTTGATTTGCATGTTACTTCCTTAAGTCTCTAATCAGTAAGCAGCCTGCTGTGCTAGGCATTGTATGTTGCACAACTGGAAGTAATTTTTTAAAATGTTGAGCATAGGTAGGCTTAATGATTTGAATAATTCAATTGTGCATATACATTGGAGCCTTGGGCCAAACATGCAGATGGATAAATGCAAATTGTTTCTTCTTACACAGAGCCATATACAGATGCATGAAATGTAATTCTGACTGCTGGTTTGAGAAAGAATGACATGATTCTTCAGCAGAACTTAAGGCATAGTAACACTACCATCCTCACAATGCTTCTGTTTGGCATTGTGTATAGCAGAGACTTTGATGGCATGACATGCTCTCCAGGTACAAAATTCATCCTTGCATGGTGCCACAATAATAAATTACTTGTATCAAATCTTACAGTTGGGGGTCTGCAATTGCTTGGCCAACACTAATTGATTAAGATTCTAAGCTGCCTTCATAACTAATGCTTTTGTTTCAAAACATTTTTCATGGTGATAAATGCAAAATGAAAAATTGGAACTCCCACCTCCACTTTCATCATGAGTCAAATTGAATATATTGTTTGACCCAAAATAAAATATTTTAATTTGGGCTGAGGTTTTCAACTATTAAAATTAAATTTAGGTAACTTTGCACCTGAATGTCCTTGCAACCCCTCAAAAATAGAACAGTTCATTTAAAAATTGTCAACATGAAGCATTTCACCATTTTCAGCTGCTTCTTCCAGTTGCTTGTATTTGTGGCTGGATTTATTTAACTGAATTTGACACAAAGTCATTGAATAGTTTTTGTCAACCCCATTCTACTTTTTTCAGTGATTAGGACATGGAGTGGAGCTGTGGGGAGTGATGATACTAACCACTTTAGAGAAAAATGTTCAAATAAGCTTATCAGTCTGCTAGAGATCTGTTTTGAGTTGTTTGTTTTTCTTAAATTGCTGGCAACATAAATGTGCCTTATTACTAATTAATTTACATCATTTGACTGTACAAAGTGTAACCATCACAGATAATTAATAATTATTGCACTTTTAGTAAGGCAAAAGCTTAGATTGGAGGGCAGAAGCAATCCTCTCCTTTGAGGGATATGTACTCCACTGTGTACAGTAGTCCTATAGGGTCATAGGAGAAGCTCTTGGACATTAGGAAGCTTCTGCACGTTACTGAAGACAAATTTAGATACAGAAACAGCCAGTTCAAAAGTCTGCCTAGGTCCCTGTTCTGCACAGGGCTCTGCTGTTTAGAAGATAGTTTTTTCCTCCTATCGCTATGCAACACTCAAAGGACACACGCAAATATGCAGATGAAAGAACTTCTTTACGGTAAGGGGGACCGGCATCTGGAATAGACTTTCCCAAGGAGGCGGTACAGTCCCCAGCCTTGGAAGTCTTTAAGAGGAGACTGGACAGACATCTAGCTGGGATCATTTGATCTCAGCTGTATTCTTGCCCAGAGCAGGGATTTTGGACTTGATGATCTTTCGAGGTCCCTTCCAACCCTTCATTTCTATGATTCTCTGATCTTCCAGTGAAGAAGCTGTCTTCCCTGCTGAAGCATCTTGTGCTCAGGTGACTACTACAAGTAAAAAATATGTAGAGTCTATGCTTGCTTAACCTGCTATAAGACATGCTGGTCTTAATAGGAGAGCAGAGAAACTGATCCTGGCACCTTACATGAGTGTTCTTTGCTCCCCAGGATTATAAGGGGGGAGGTTACTAGTACCACTACCCCAGTGGCAATGAAGTGCTAATGCTGTTACCAGTGCACATGGAGAAGTTAGAGCAGCCCCATATGGTGATGACAGAGTAACCAAATCTGTATACCTGTAGGTGATGGCACTCTGAGTACATTAGCAGACTTATTGTCACTATATATTATTCATTTATATTGCAGTAGGTCTTCAAATCCCCAGCCTGAGATTAGGTATCCAAAGTCAGTGGTGCTATGTTGATTAACAAAAGTGGTGGATCTACTGCTAGTGTATCTACTGCAAATTCACTCTGCTTTTTCAGAGCATGGGCTGTATCTCATTTGCAAAGCATCTAGCACATGGCATCTGTGCATTGTTGCATGACAAATACTTGACAACAGAAGAGAACTCCTCATAAGTAGTAGTAATGTGTACTAGCTACTCTGCTTTTATTCTGACTGACTTTCATGGTTGATATAAGAATGCCAGTGTTGTGAGGATCACAAGCCCCACAAGCCAGAGATCATCTTTCCTCTATGTTCTTGTGGAGTACCTAGCACTGTGAAGCCCTGAGTCACCATTGTAATAAAAATAATAACAACAGAATTGATGATTCTATAGTAGTACTGAGTCAGTCTCAGAAAAAAAAATGTTATGGTTTTACCGAGGTACATTTTATATGATGATGTAGAGATACAAAATGTCATGTGTCTAATATTACTGTAGTTGCATTCCAGTACAAAAACTATACTTTTACTACAGTCCTTTTCCCCTTAGGTTCCTAGATCTATAAAAGAGAGTGTCCAGAGCTCTATAAATCACATTAGAAACAATAAACCTTTCCCCTTCTCCTTTTCTTTCTTCTCAGCTACAACAGAGTTTTGCTTTTAAGCCTGAAATCGGCTGGATCAGTCTGCAAATGACTTAGATACAAGTTTAATTAATCTAGAAGCACATGCAATTTTCACAATTGTCTTTACGTTTGTAGTGAACACTCCTAAAATCATAATAATGTTTTAGCCTTATCTGCAATTAGGCCAGTGTATCTAATTTGTAAAAATGTGTGTGTGTGCGCACACGTGAGCGTGCACAGACTTATGTATACATTGAACTTAACTAGCATGTGCACATTTTGTGATGCAGTTGGTACTAACTTAAGAAAAACCCATATGGCTCTTAGTGTTTATGCTGTGGCTAGAGTGACTTGATACAGGCTATGAGGAGCTTTACTCCTCAAATGTACCTTCCCTTTGGTCAGCTACTTATTAGAAAATAATTCCACAGACATTTAAGCAGATAGGTGTACAGTTTTTCCCCCAGTGCTGTTTCAAATTGGTTCAGAGCCATTCTATAAACAAAAAGTTATGAAGTTTAACTGACTTCATATTTACTTTTAAAAGCATGACTCAGGACTGAAATGTGATGATTTCTTTTTAAAAAACCCATACCGTAGACACTAATTATAAAAACTTGATGTGGTAATGGAAACCCAGTGATAAATTGCTTTTACAGTAGTTTCTTCCTAAAGTACTTGGAAATGTTAAGGCATCTTTCACATTACTATGCAGAACATTTTCAAAACGATCGTGCTGAGTTTTCTGACCTTATTTCTTCTTTAAAGAATTTCTTGCAAATCGACGTCCCGATGCAGGCATTGCACTTATCAAGTCCCAGAAAAGTCCGGCCAAAACTGTAGCTGGGTTTGAAGTGGGGCACAGTAGGAGAGGTTGTTGCTTCTGAGAGAGGGCTGCAGCTCAGAGTCAAGAACTGAAGCAATGGAAACAGACCTACAACATTGCTGGAAAGGTAGTAGATCCAGCACCCCATCTACAGTACCTGCAAGCACTGCCTTTTGGAAGCGGCTCAATTCTATATTCTTTGCACCTTTTGATGATCTCTGTCTGCGGTTGTTGGCCTCTCAATGCAGTGTGAGGAACTTGGTCCAGGAGAAGCATAAACCATCCCCATCCTGCCAGCTGGTTGGTGGGTCTATAGATTTGAGTTCTTGATGAGAAAGAATATGGTGCATGGTGGGAGGTGAGGAAACGTATGGAGGATGCAGATAACTTGGGTTGCCATAGTTACCTTTCCTCTACTTGGTGCAGCTGTTTCAGCCCCTGTTGACCCCACCCATCACCAGCTTGGAAAACAACAACAAGAAATGCTCATCTGCACTTTATGCAGACAAATGAAGGATATCCTGTTGCTGTAGCCCAGGGCATACAAAGGACTCTGTATAGAAGTTACCCCAGATATGACAATGACATGGCAGAAGCACACAGTTTAACATAAGCAAAAAGTTGAAACCGTGTCTTATTATTTGCATTACTATATATGTAGAAAAGGCACAGGGCCTTGGCCTTTGCATAGCTCAAGTTTGCTTTGCTTCTTACATATCCCCTTGGCTCACATTTCCCCTTATAGCAGTAAAGCTCTAAAGATTGCCAGAGGGTGCGATTGCTGTTCTGTTTCTTGATAATTGTGTAGTTTAAAGGTTATCATGTTGCAGTCTTTCAAATTGTCTTAGATGCACATAGAATGCAGTCTAAAACTTTCAAAAGCAACTAAGTGACTTAAAAGTGACTGATGGACTGACATACCTAAATTTCCACAGATTTCAGCAAGACTGACATTTTTCTCCAGTCTTCTTCCACTTTGGGAGGGACTTGGTAAAATATTCAAATATTCCTAAGAAGGTAGTAGTTTTAAAAGGCAATAACAATTACTATTGCAGACAAAAGACTGCTAAAATAATGTTATTTCTAGGGTGTGAAATCAGACACTCAAAAGTTTAGGAAGTGCTAGAATTAAGATTGCCACTAAAACCTTAATTAGGTCTCCTTGTGTATTTGCATTATGGTATAGTTCATTAGTAGCATGATTACATGCTATTTTCTCCTCATGACCACTGCCTCATTTAGTGCATAGGATGCTGTTGTTCAGGGAAAGAAAGAAGGTTACATGGTGGATGAGACATGTCAGTAGAATCCCATCCCACGCTAAGAAGGAAGATCTACTGATAGTCAAGATACATAGTTAATTTACCAACTCAGCCACAGACCTTGGGCAAATGATTCCCCAGTATTTTTAAAGAAACAAGAATATAATGCATTTTATTATACACGTCTGTAACAATCCTTCCATCACATACTATCAGGGCTCAGCCCCTGATCCTTCAGCATTGCAGCATATACAGCTTTATACAAAAGCTGTCCTACCAGCCAGAAAGAAAAGCCAGTTACTTCAGAGTGGGGAATAAGCTGGCTAGAAACAGGTCTAGGGTCCAGGGACCTGGCCAGATTTTGTCGTGTTTTTCTTCTTTCCAAAGCTGAGAAATAGAAAGTCTCAGTCCCGCCTGGCTTCCTTGGGAAGGAGGCATGAGCTCCCTGGGCCATGTGCTGTGTCTGCAGGAAGTAGTTTACTGGGAAGAGCTTCACCCCACAGTCTCTTCCCACGTCTCTGAGAAGATCTCTGATCCTGGGATTCTGGCTGGGTCTGGTGACAACCGAGGTGCTAAACTTCTGGGGGAGAGAGCAGGGTGCAGCTCCTTAAAATGCTCCTCTTGATTTACTTTGGCATTTGTGAAATAGCCGTTGTTTCCCCTGCACTGGCACCGCAGCTAACCTCCATGACCCCGGGGCAATCTCTTCATCACCCTGCACTTCAACTTTCCCTATGTGAAATGAAAATAACGACAGTTACACACCGCTCTAAAGCTAGCTGGAATCTACTCATAATAAGAGTCAGAAATTAGTATTCATTGCATGTCTTATATATGTCTTATGCAAAGTCTGTTCACTTTGGGAGGGGATTAGTTAAATATTCAATTGCAGTGCCTATGGCTTTTTGACAATCTGTGGGACACAGGTACTGCAGCTCCTAAGTCGCCAGTAGGTTGGTCAGTGGAAACTGGGCGCAGCAGACAATTTGCCTGAAAAAGTCATTGGCCTGCTGTCCCTGGATAATATATAACTAAAAAGTGCTGTAGATTGAATGCTTTTAGGTACCCTTCAGCAGTGACAACTTCTGTTTGATTTCAGGGATGTGCCCAGTCTAGAACTGCTATTGCAAAATATTTAAACAATGGGAGTTTGATGACAGAGCATGAATGAGATCTGCACATGGGTGACGAGAGTCCCTTTTTTCCCTTCCTGTGCAGTTTCACTGCAAAGCCAGGCATGTGTCTGAACTGCATTCATTTCAGAGCAGACTGGGGGGGCACAAGCAGTGTGAACTGGTGTCCATCCTTTCTTCAAATGGACCATCTGTTATTGCTGCATATTGCAGCACTGATGCTGTGATGTCATCTGGCACCACTGAAAGCAGTCGTTAGAGTATATAGAAATGTATCTGGGAAAGAAGACAAGTTAACTATATGTTATCTCCCATTTTACAGAGGGGGAAAACTGAGGCACAGGTGGTAGAAAGGAGCAGTGTTTCAGCTGGCAGTAAAAGGTAGGAATTCACGAGTTCCAGATTCATGCACATCTTACTATTTCTACTTGTTTATTCATTGCAAAAAAGATGCATATTCAAGAGGTTTCAGCTCCTTGCCCAATGTTCTACACAGCTATAACAGTCTATGGCTGTTGCTGGTCATCCCCACTCCATATGTCTGTTCTGTCCTTCCCAGACCAGTCCACACTGGTCAGGTGGATGATCAAAGAATGTGATATGTGCAGACTTGTCTTTGAACCCCTCCTCCTCCTTGAAGAGAGACTGCATGGACTTTCATTGGCAGTGGTCAACTGCAGTCTCATCCAAAACTGCGCATTTGCAAGATTATGTGATTTTATCACCTTGTCTCAGTTTTCTCCTGCAAAATGCAAATAATATATAATTACTTATCTTTTACACGTATTAAGAGGATAAATTAGATGCACCAAGATCATGCTCTTTGTATTTAGAATGGACAGAATTGCAGTGCTTAGCCCTGTTCTCTTCATATTGCTTAGCAGCAATTTAAAATAGTATTAGCTAATGCGAGGCAAATAAATGATGGGTTATAATCACATTCTTTAATCATGGAGGCTTGACTAGGCATCCCACAATTTCACTACGAGTTGCTAGGCATCCCACCATTTGGAGTAAAAAGCACCCAAATTGTAGAGAGCCTAGGAGCAGCAGTTTGTACATGGAGATATCTGCCTACAGTGCTGTGTGCTTATTATTGATATGGTACTGTGTTGTGGGGATGGAGCACTTTGGAAGCAAAGTAGCTTAAGCAGCATGGAGTTATGCTTAAATTACATTGATACACTTTTACCAATACATGCCATATTAGTGCAACTTTTCCATATAAACAAGGCCTAAGATGCACATTTTATTTGACACAGTTCAGACTAGGGCTGTGTGAAGCTTCAGTTACCGATTTGATTTGGAGGCGATTCAGCAGCCAAATCTCTGAATCTGAATTGAATCAGGAGACCCGTTAATCTCTCCGAATCAAATCGGAAGCTCTGATTTGATTTGGAGAGATTTGACGATTTGGACGTAGACACAGCTTTATATGTTTTTTCTACATACCTCAAGGTACCAGGCAGTTTGTGAATGCTGAGATGGTGGGGCATATGAAGCATCCCATGACAGTGTGGGGGGGGCCCCCAGCGCACTTGGTGGCAGACCCAGAAGTGGCAGTGCACTTGGTGGCAGACTTCTGGGTCTGCCGCAGAACATGTGGGCCGCCCCCCCCCCCCCCC